TCCAGATATTGGTGATGAATTGATTTGGATTGGATTTGCTCGACCATCATTGGGTGCTGTACCACCAGTAATAGAACTTCAAGCACGTTGGTTTGCATTATTATGTTCAAACAAATGTAAATTACCAGAAGGGAATACAATAAGGATATCTAGGCAACGGGGGGAAGGGGTACGGTCTCATATGAACAGACAAATTGGAAGAATAATAACCAGTGGAACCGCCCCATGAGCACTAGGAAAATACAGATTTCGATTTAGTTGAGTTATGTGAAACGCTGAGTTTTGATTTTAATAAGACGCCTACAAGGGGAAAGTACCGCTACGACAAGTAACTAAGTAAACTACGTCGATCATAATGATCTTTAAATGATTAATAGTGAATCTGGCGATGATAAAGAGATGAACGGTTTCAGTTGAATATACAAAAGCATTTAATCAAGAAGAGATAGATGAAGGTACTTTTGTCAGGCGGAACAGCAACATCGGGCATACCTAATTTTGTCCATATGCTTTCTTTTTTTGTTTTATTCATCAAAAGTGATGACGATGATAGAGCAGAGTAGAAAAGATCATCTATCATGCATAGCTGTTGAGAAACAACAGACAAAAATACAGTAATCATCATACAGTATGGACTTTAAAACACAATGACATAATTCCATCGAAGGGAAAAAATATCATCGAGGAAAACCAAAACATGTGAGTGTTACGTGAATTAAATCAAATATTTGGTTTATTGATGACGCAAGATTACCAAGATTACCGAATAGCACTCTGATGCTATTGGATAATTTCGGTAATAAATGAAAACATAGGTGATCCACCATTCTAAATTTGGAGGTGCAGTTTATTGTAAAATGAAAGTGAAAGAATATTCTTCACAGTTGTCATGGAGAAAAGCAAGCTATTTTAGCCTACGTACATTTCATGATTCTCTTTAAAAACATTTACTCCGATTTTCTGAAAAAAAGGAGAAAAAAAGTCTTTTAATCCTCAACTTATCCGCAAACATTTACTCCGTACCATGATTTCAACCTTCCCACCTATGCTTCAAGGTCTTCGCCACGCCACTGTTTAAAAGCAAACATTGACTCAAGATTCAAAATGATCGATAACCTATGTTTTTATTCATTTCAGAAAATGACCAATAGTATCACAGTCCGATAACGGCCTTCTAGCAAAATGAGCCCCTCCTGATACATGAAAGATAAAGGATTCTGGTTTGCATGAATATATAGTGGGCTGTCTACAAACTGGTGAAAAGCGCAGATTTTATTGTTTGTCTATCAAGAGCCATTCAAAAACTATCCAAAATACAGTTGGTTTTTAAATAATTGCAATAAAATAGCTTAAGGGTTGAAGTGTTTTTTAGTACATAAATGTTGATATATGTGCAAAGAATAATCATACAATGAAGAATGTATACAGCAAAGTGCTAGTAGCGTTGTGCAACACGGACTTTAGTGCAATTTTGTTCTATTACTCATCCGACAGAAAAGCTTCTTTCCAGCTTGCAATCACTTTTGAAGAATAAGCTGATCATGTTTCGTGCCATCGTTTTTAATGTTCAATAAGAACTGGTTTTCAAATAGCTCGAAATGGCATCGATTCTAGATGTCGGGCTTTGAACAAGGACATGATTATTATAAGGCTAGCATTGGAACACAAGTCGAGGTTATAATGGTATGTGAACCCAAGTCAGTCCTGATCTTAGAAAATCTCGTTATGGAATAATCTTTGAACAATAGCAAGGTGCGCTTTGTCCTCAACAAAATCATTTATTTTATCATGTAAAAGAGAATAATGGACCAATGAAAATAGTAGATGTCTTTATTGAATGACGCGCAACAAAAACAGTTATGTTACAAGAAATACAAAAATATGTTAAATACTTAAAATGGCAATTCACACCTGCTCGTATTAATCGTATTACGACTTTAACGGATTA